AGCAGACACTTGGAGTCGGAAAGACGCAAATCTACGAAACTTTAAAAAACAAGGCATCGATTCAACTCCTGATGACAAGCCACCATTCAGCGAGGAAGCAATGCAAATGGCAACAAATCCATCAGTATGCACAAGAATTACCAGACATCGGTGATCAACGGGACAGTTACTTGCAACTAGCAAGAAAACTGTATGACACGCAGGCAAACATTGTCATAAACCAAAGAATGCATCCAACAAAACAATCCAAAATAGACAAATTTTTTTCCCAAGACAGAAAAAAAAAATAAACATTAAAATACTGTACGTATTTTACTGTTGTGATTTTTTTTTTTGGATACACCTGTATTGCAGTTTTTGTTATATAAACAGTTTTTGGACAGTATATTTTTGTATTTTATTGATTGTGTTATTACGCGTGCATTTTGTCAACATACTTGCAGGTTCATAAAGGACATGTACCATGCTCATTTCCCAAATGAGGAATTTCTGTTATCAGGACAAATTGGACAGCGCAAACACGAGTCCGCACGAGAGAATATTTACTGTGTGTGTGTGCGTATGTGTGTATATTATATATATATATATATGTGTGTGTGTGTGTGTGTGTATATATATATATATGCATACATTTATATACATATGTGTGTATAGACATATATATGACAAAAGTCTTTATCAATTACCATCCCTAATTCCCAGAATGTATTGCGTGGCGAAATACATTTAAGTTATAAAGACATTCATCCTGATCACACAGCATGTGTGTGTTTGTGGTACCAACACTTAAATGTGTGTCATATTTAGCTGTTATATTTTTTGACTTATGTTGCACTATGTTCTTAATTTATATGTGCACTATTTTTTTAAATATACCGCAACTTTGGGTTGTGTGTAAAATAGTGACAACCATTAATGTAAACCCTATAAAAATACAGCTCATACAAATGCTTCAGAGAAATTGCATCTTAATGGGCATATGAGAGGATTGACGTGGACACGGTTAAAAATGTTCTGTTAGCCTCGAATGTCATTTAGTTTCTTCACAAGAGGGGGCCTTGGTATTGGTACTGTTGTGAGTACGTGATACCTTGAAAATAAGACGGGTGCTGATACGGTACTCGCTCATCCCAAATAAAAACGAACAAACTTGTTATGAAAACAAAAACTGAATAAATAAAAAAAGTCTAAATGAAATAAAACAAACTACAACGAAAAATACCAAACTACTGTAACTCTGGCGTGAGTGTGTGAGTTTGTGCATGCGTAACAGGTCGCCTCACCCAGACAGATGCAATTGCAATGGAGTAGATGAAGTACCGTTGACACAAGCCGAGACGGAACAATCTGGAAAAGAATCAAACTGAAAATAAGCCAGCAGATTGTAGGTCAGGGGTGTCCAACTCATTTGGCCAATTTGGAGTTACGTCTTCCCTTGGAGGGCCGTGATGACAGTGAAAACACAAAATTATTACTTGTACACAACAAATTAATGGATTACTTGTTTTGAAATCAGTCAACTATCATAGTTTATGAAGTTATTGTTCAAGTGTAAAGAGGGTAACCAACTTAATTGCAAAATCTCAACGTAATTTATTACACATGACAATTTGACATTTTGGTCCAGATCTTAGCAAGTTGACACACGTGATTTGCTTTCGCGAGCCACATAAATTGACCTGGCAGGGTGAATCTGGCCCCCGGTCCTTGAGTTTGACACATGTTGTAGGTGATGTGACGGCGCTACGAGGGAATGGACAAGCAATTCCATCACAAGTGTTTGAACGTCATCAACTTTACCGTCATCGCTGCAGGCGGTCTCCAACTCGTAAGGCAGCTCCTCCTCACCGCCGCAATCCACCTGCATGTCACAGTCTGAGCTGGAAGACATAAGTACAGTTTCAATCGACAGTGTTAAAAAACAGATTTATAATGGCCGTCAATTACACAGTGATTTTTGCTTTGATTTGATGTGCTTTGATGACTATTTTGTGCACGATAAGGCGCTTCGGAGTACACGGCGCACCTTCAATGAATGTCCTACTTTCAAGACTGCGCACCGCATTATAAGACGTATAGAATAGAAGCTACAAAGTGGCTGCGGTTGCATTATGCATCCACTAGATGGAGGTACGCTAACGGGAATACAATATAATTGTTTTATTTTTACAGAGCTTTCGCAACCGTGAGTGCTTTACAGAACATTTAAAATTCTACGTCCAAGAAATTAGAATATTGATCCATCAATTAGGCGCATCGGCTCATTAGGCGCACTGTCAGCTTTTGAGAAAATGTAATGCTTTTATGTGCGCCTTATAGTGTGGAAAATACGGTAAATGATATTTAACAAAACTGATTATTTTTTTTCTTTATTTGAACATGTTTGCGTCACAGAGCAATTTGAACTGGTAAAGTCAAGGACGCACTGTAAGCGTAATTGAGAACACGGCATATTTGTGAGATACAGTTAAATATAAGAACAGTCCAGGGTGTTGGGACTATGAAGGACAAAATATGTGTTAATCTCATGACAATCTTACCTGGCATCTCTGGCCTCACATTGAGAGGGAGTGGAGGACAAGCACACAGCTGCGACGGAGGCAGTTGGTGACTGCTTAGTCAGGTGGATGGCGGAGATCTTGGTGGTCACAGAGCCCATCAGCGCTCCTGAGGGATGGGACAGTGGTGAAGAATATCCACATGAATGAAATCTATGAGGTTGGTCTGGTTCTGATTACCTGGGAGGCTGTCCTGCGGTCCGGGCTGATCTTTTGGTGTGGCACTGGCATTGAGGCCATTTGGCACGTGACCATTGAGATTCCCCAATATGGTTCTATTTTCATCCCGTGCACTTTGTGGGAATTTCTTGTTTGAATCCAAAGCTATCAACGTTAGAGGCTTAATACTAACAGTTGGTGGACAAACATCAATGACTTGAAGGGGATTGTTTACTGTAGCCGATTTAGCATGGCTGCTGTGTGTGTGACTGAACTTTGCTGCCGTGTTCCGCTGGTTACAATAAGTCAACGGAAAGGTCTTGCTCATTTCCACTTTGGCATCAAGGCTGGAGGCATCTTTTCCCATCTTTGTTCCTGGATCTTCAAAAGGAGTAAGGCATACCAAAGGCACTGGAATCGGGGAGGCAAGTTCTGCAGTTTCAAGCTAAAAAGACAAAACAACCAAAATCAGCTCTTGAAGCAGAAATCTCTCTTTCACCTCTCTATGTTCAACAGCACTCGGCATGATGGTGCCGCAATGATACCGTACTTTTTGCACTTTGTTGTTCTCCAGCAAGTTATTATTCTTCTCGAATAACATCCACATTTCCCGAGGTCTCCACTTCACTGCTGTTTCTGTGACTCATCCAGCGCCTCTGTATCTCTGGTGCAAACTGCTGATGACACCCTAAACTCCGTGGCCACTTCCCTCTCAGAACATCCCCTTTGAAGGCTCCCAATGATATTCTTAATCAATTGTTCGGTGTAGGCATGAGGATTAGATTCTGACGCTGTGATGACCATGACCAAAAATATCGCAGTCTCACCGTATTAAAATTACAGCTCTAAAATTACCTTCTTGGAAATGTTGGGGTAAATATAAACAGCATTTCCCCCATTGAATACAATCTACTTCATTTTGAAACAAAATATTGAATATTTTGTACTGAAGAAACGTGTACCATGTTAAGTATATAAAGTACGGTAAATAAATGTGATCATTCTTCTTGTGTTTTAATTTTTAGTAAGTCAGTGTCCCAACACTGGTGATCTCTGTTTAGAACAGACGGGTGGGTTACTCATGTTTTCCTAAAATCCTACCTACTCGCACGTTTTTATTTATTGATTATTATTATTTTTAAGGACAATGCATAGAGCAAAAAGGCATCCATTTTTGCAGTGTCTCTTATGTCTTGCTTTCTCCCCCCACCTGCTCATGAGAAGGAGTAAAAAAGTTAGCGTATTTTGCGGGTGATAATCAGCCACTGTTTTCCCCACACTGAACCACGTAGCTTTCATTGTGACAAGGTTTATTTATAACTTTTTACCGATGAGCTTCAAGCTGGTGACACATTCACCACAAATCTCATCAGATCTTACAGATGAAATTGCTGAACACTTCTCCGTGGACCAGTGAAACCGCCGGCTACCTGAATGACATGAAATGTTCATGCATTTTTTTTTTAATCATGAATGTCCAAGGATGAGATGTCGCAAACGTGAACATTACATGTTATAATTAATGTCTATCAGTGTTTTTTAAGTATTTAAAAAAACAAAAACAATCTAAGGCATTTTCATGATGGCGGGGGTCGATTGCAGAATGAAGTTGTATAAATTATTAATTATTAATAAATACTGCTCCATTTTCTGATCAATTCAGTTTTTTTTTCAAATCTTCTGATTTACCCCCCAAAAACCCTGATCACATAACGTCTAAATTTTTTTTAAAAAGCCATCGGTGCAACCTCTTTACAAATACCAGGTGGAGACCCGTGACTATTAATATGCGATGAATGTATGCACAAATTTGCTTTTATGGCTACATTTAGCTGTTGTGCCTTTTAACCGTGTTTTTTGTAGTCTGGAAATTACAACAAATGGAGGGTGAGGATAGGCAGTCTGGAATATGGAAGAATGGATGGAGGCAATTAACTTCAAAGAAGTATTCTTTTTTTGGGGGACCCACCTGTGTATTCTCTCTCTGTTCCTATCTCCTTGTCCCTCTCCCTCTCTTGTTGGACATATTACAGTCTTCACAGATTTTTTTAAAAAGATTTATATGGGCAAATTGTGATTTTCTGGGATTTTGGTCGCCACTTTGAAAAATGTCTTTGAACCAATGTCAGATGCAATCTGAAACCAAAAATCTGATTACATTTGCAAAAAGTAGCCAAAACTGCAACAGAATCCGCTTGTTTGAAAACAATTAAATACTGGGGGAAAAAATCATTTTCCCACTCCTAATACTGTTACAGTGTTGCACCACATATTCACAATTTGGTATGTTTTATTTCTGTGGATATTTGCTGAAAAATGTGCCCATTTGTGTTTGTTTTGTGCTCTTTCTGAAACACACAAAGATACCACAAGATACTGCCAAAGTCCTGACATTGTGTCACGGAAGTATAAATAATACATCTCGACAAATAGACAGGTTTTGTATGTTGGGGAGGCGCTAACTTTAACCTGGGATGTTAGTTAGATGAATTCTTTTGGTGCAATTTATCAAAATCCAATCATCAATAAAGTAAGCCACATATTTTCAGTCATGTAAGATGAGTTTGAAATGATATTAAACAACTTTGGGATCACATTTTGTGGTATTTTTACAGTTCAAATACCGTATTTTCCACACTATAAGGCGCAACTAAAAGCATTTAATTTTCTCAAAGCTGACAGTGCGCCTCATCATCTGACGCGCTTTATCCATGGATCAATGTTCTGATTTCTTGGATGTAGTATTTGAAATGTTCTGTGAAGCGCTTTGTTACAGCTGCAGCGGTTGTGAAAGCTCTATAGAAATAAAGCTGTATTTATTAAGGGTTAAATTGTATTGTATTCCCTTTAGCATAGCTCCATCTAGTGGATACATAATGCAACCACAGCCACTATTATCGCTTCTATTCTATGCGCCTTATAAGGCGGTGTGCCCTATACATAAAACAGTTTTAAAATAGGCCATTCGTTGAAGATGCGCCTTATACTCCGAAGCGCTTTATAGTGCGGAAAATACGGTACTTTAAAAAGGTATAAGGCTTTTGTTAGGGGAGCGTCAGGTTTTTTTGTTTTGTTTTTGCTATTTGTAGCGGTAATAAAGTATAGTGGGGGAGTACTTTATTATCGCTCTGACTGTCAACTGAAAATGAGCATTATGATCCTGGTAAAGGGAGCATTTTCTCTCATTAAATTGTGCGGATGTACCAAATGAGTTTTTGCAAAAGGTATTTTGTACCTTACAGACGTTCATCTGCATAGAAGGATGTCCTTGGATTCGTTGCAAGGTGCCGCCTCTCGGGGCGTTGAGGTTTTCCCTTTTGAGAGTAGAAGAAGAATGGTCACCTGTGTCCAGGGCGCTGCTGCCAATTGGCTTTGCCCCCGTTGACCTGATTGCACTTGGAATGCCATTAAACATCAGCGGCTGAATAGGAACGGCTGTGGATTGACTCTTGGTTGCATTCTCTTGCATCTGAACAGATGAAGAAGCAGGACGTTTGGTGCGCTCTTGGTTAGGAAAAGGCACTTGAGCAGTCGCAACAGTCTCTGGGTCGAAGCTGACCGATACGCTGGTTGACATGGCCATGTCACAGCAAGCCTGTGGGGTTCCGTTGTCCCAGGGTGGGGACTTATTGGTGGGCATGGCACTACAAAAATGAGATGATGACAATTTCTTCCCCTTTGAAAAGACACTTGAGGTTTTTGGAGATGTCAGCTCAAACTGGATAAACTTGGACACTTCTCAGATTTTTTTGGACAGGGACTTCTTGCTAGGTGTTGCTGAGCGACAGCATTCATCACTGCGAACCAAGCTCAAATGCCTGCAAAGAAGACAAAGTCGAGTGATGAGTGGAGGCGACTTAGCCTTGGACGCCTTCCATATAGGGTTACACAGGCAAGATTTAATGTGGGGGTTTTTTCTCCAAAAGTGGTTCGAAATCACAGGCAAGACCAAGTCCAGCCTGGGAACAAGAACTTATAAAGTGAAATGATGTTTCCCCTTTTCATTAACTCTCATATTTAAAACCTAGGCGGTGTTACATGAGCTTCAGGCTGCATAAAACTCATTTTGAGGGGGGCTCCAAATTCATCGTTATGTAATTGTTGTGGTTCCCAGGTCATTTCTCAGGAGTGTTATTTAAAAATAAATAAATAAAACAGCTTTGGATACGATAACAATAAAACACTGAATGTTACAAGCAATCAGAAACGTCCATCTAGCTCTCTGTCTCTCCATCTACAATGCCATGAAAAAGTATTTGCCCCCTTCCTGATTTCTGTGTTCTTTGAACATTTATCACACATCAAACCCATTTTAATATCACACAGAAACAACCCAAGAAAATACAAAATGCAGTTTTTAAATGCCAATTCATATTATGAAGGCCCCCCCAAAAAATCCAAAGCTACCTGTCCCTAAGTGAAAAAGTAATTGTCCTGAACCAAACAATGGGTTGTACAATGCTTGGCAGCAATAACTGATATCAGGTGTTTGCGATAATTGGTGAGGAGTCTTTTTCATCGCTATGGAGGAATTTTGGCCCAATTTTCTTTGCAGAATTGCTTCGACTCCGCCATATTGGAGGGTTTTCTGGCTTGAACTACCCGTTTAAGGTCACACCACAGCATCTCAATTAGATTCAAATCCAGACTTTGACTTGGCCACTCATTCATTCATCCATCCATCCATCCATCCATCCGTTTTAGAATCCGCTTATCCTCACAATGGTTGTGGGTATGCTGGAGCCTATCCCGGTGTGCTGGCTTTGGGCAGTAGGCGAGGTACAACCTGAACTGGTTGCCAGCCAATCGCACGGCACACATAGATGAACAACCATTTGCGCTCACAATCACACCTAGGGACAATTTAGAGTGTTCCGTTAACCTGCCATGCATGTTTTTAAGAATGAGGGAGGAAACTGGAGTACCCGGAGGAAACCCACCTAGCCACGGGGAGAACATGCAATCTCCAGAGTGAGGCCGTAGCCGGAATCGAACCCTGCACCTCTGCACTGTGAGGCCGATGTGCTAACCAGTCGAACACAGTGCCACCAGCCTTGATAAATTGTCATTTACATGCGTGTTTGTTTACATACAGTCCCCTCAAAAAGTATTGGAACAGTAAGGTCACCTTTGTCTTTGTTTGAACTGAAGACATTTGGGATAAGCGAAAATGCCATTTAACTATATCCATATCTATCGCTACCTATTGTACATTTGACAGTTCAGTTTAATTTCAAACACATATCTGTTCAATAAATATGTACTACACACGACAACACCGATGTATCAGCTCATCCCATGTGATGATTAAAAAGCACCTTACTCTGCATTGCAAAGAGTGCGTTCTATCTAAACATAAACGGGAGCCTTAGCAGCAAAAACTGTTAAGTCATACGAAGTACGAAAGTGTTGACGTTTGTACTCTTGATGAAGAATAAAAATGTGCACTAGACCAACAAGTTGAAATGACAATTCTAACATTAAGTGACTACTTTTTAGCCGCATGTTTGATTCAGTTGATTTGTGGTGACAATATCGCTTTTATTTGCGACACACAAATATGCTAACAATGAATACGATGTCGTATTTCATGTAAATCTTTATCGGACACCTGTGCATCAGACTTTTTTTCGAGCAGAAACAGCAGATAGCTAGCTACTTGGTAGTAGCGTTCAATCGTGTGTTTATCACGGTTTTGCCATGGCAACAAGGGCCACCCCGTTACAAAGATTCAAAGACAACGGACTACCGTTTATAAAAGTTGGGAAAATAAGACCAAACTTACCGGCTTGGACGTGGAGAAAGAGGCCAGCACGTTGTGTGGCAGTTCCTCTTTCCACCCCCAGAGGAGTGACTCGCTCCACTTTCACATGGCAAGCCTCTGACAGGGGCTGACCGGAGTATCCGGGTGAGTAGTGACGCATCACGGCGATAGAGCAGCTATGATTACTTCCGACTTCCGGTTCGCCAGTTCGGTGGCGCGCCCCTTGCCTTACCTAAACGTCAACGCACGTCAGAGCCTTACATAAAAACAAAACAATACAGTACGGTGGAAATGTATTTTTTATGTATCGTTTATAACAAAAAAAATGAACATCACCTGTTTAGTCGAAAAAAAGTATTAAGGACTGAAAACAACCGTGTAAAACAATTATTCATTTCACGGGGACTGCACATTAATCAACACAAGAATAAACAGTGTAAATGCGCCGGACTTATGTCATGTTTATATTATAATGACGTAGTCTTGTAGATCAGTAATTTCACCAGCAGAGGACTCTCGGGAGACGAGGATGGTAACTCGATGTTACTGGAGTCTCACTTTGCTTTCATTCACAATCCAGTGGACCCCCCCGCATACTCGCTGGTCAGCACCCGCGTATTCGTCGGTTCGAATTTTTACCCCGACAGTAATTCCTATAACACTGTTCATCCTTCGCGGCTTGGCTATTTCACATTTTTTTCCGTAATTTTTTTTAACAGTGCATTGTGTTCTGCATCCTGATGGGCTAAGTGAGTGTAGTCTAACGGCAACTATCTCGTCACCTCATCGTTGTACAGTTCGCCAAATTTTCTCCATGACAAAACCCACAATTTCGACGAAACATTCTGTACAGTATTTATAGAAAATGTCAGCTGTTTGTAAAAAAAAAAAAAAAAAAAAAAAGCTTATGTTTTTTTTCAGGCTTAGGCCTGAAAAATGGTTTAATCTTTTTTTTAATTTCATTCAATACAGTATTGCAGTACAGTAATTGTAGAAAATAAAGATGACTACGGATTTCACTTATCACAGGTTCTTTTTGGAACATCAATACAATAAAATATATGTATCCCCCCACCACCACATTTTCATGGCAAACAAATGCTGGAAAACAATCAGCATATTTTGAATAGATTATTTTTGAAGTTTAGAATAAAAAAAAATCTCAGTGCATTCTGATTTTCCGCTTTTCACAGGCTGGCCCGGTTCATATCCCCCGTGAATAGTGGACATCCACTATATTAAAGTATCCCCAATTAACTTTCAGCTATCTTCCATCTTTTTGCCCATATTTTCCCTTTAACTGTAGGTTCCCGATTCCAACAGTAGTATACAAACCTTGAAGTGGTAAAAAATACAAAGTTGCTGCCCTTTCTAAACTATTTCACTGTTTGTTTGACCATATCCAAGCACATAACACATAACAGACGATCCTGTGTAATACTGTCATCGGTGTAGCTAGCTGCTGTTTCTATACATATTTATTTTTCTGACATGGCAGCTGTGTGACTTTCAGCTTGTCCCATCAGCAAAATTGTAAATATTTTTTCTTATTATTATTTTGTTACAGAGAGCTGCTAAACTGCTTTGCATTGTTTTTGCAACAATAAAAATGAAGCATGTTCTACTCCATTCTAATCTATTCCATCCATCTATCTAACCATTTATACTACTTATCCTCATTTAGGCCACAGTTGAGCTTGAGCCTAACCCAGCAGACTTTGACCGAGAGCCGGGGGTACACCCTGGACTGGTTGCTAGCAAATCGCAAGGGAAATATAAACCATCAACCATTCACATTCAAAGATGAGAACAATTCTGAGTCTTCAAGGAACCTAAGAAGCTTGTTTTTGGAATGTGGGAGGACACTGTAGTACCTGGAGAAAACCCACGCAAGCATAAGGTTTCCAGTCTTTCTCCTACCTCCTTTCTTCTTCCAACTGTCTATTTCTCTGTGTCCACCGCTCCATCTTTCATCCCATATGGTCAATCTACCACTTTACTCTCTTCCCTACTTCTCTCTGGAATGACCTCCCACTGAAGATTCGGCAAGCCCCCTCGCTGCCCATCTTTAAAACCCGCCTCAAAACTCGCTTGTATTCTTTGGCATTTGACTCAGCATGACTCAGTTTTGATCTTAGTTTTACTGTTTGGTGCCTTCTACCATCTTTGTTACTGATTTATTACTTTATTGTTGTGTATATGTTAGTTGCTCCATGTACTGTACAGCACTTTGTATGCAGTGATGGCTGTTTGAAAGTGCTCTATAAATACAGTTGAGTTGAGTTGAGTTCCCTCTTTCCACTCTCACATTTACCAATTGCCCTTTTCTTTCCTTTATTCTCTTTCTCTTATCACCTCCCCTCTTTCTCTTTCCCAATCATGTCCAACCTTGAGAGAGAGAAAGAGAGAGAGAGAGAGAGAGAGAGAGAGAGAGAGAGAGAGAGAGAGAGAGAGAGAGAGAGAGAGAGGGAAATAAAGAGGCGACTGAAGAGCTGCGACAGTCCAGTCACTGAGAGTAAAGTGCTTGGGATCCAAAAAAAAAAAAAAAAAAAAAGGAGGTGAAGTAATATTTTTCCATCCTCCTCCCGGATGATCTTTTTACTTGTGAACCTGACAGGAATATAACAGAAGAGGACATATTTTTTTCTGTCCTGGGATGACTATGGAACCTAATTTTGTCTTCAACATCTAGAAGAAAAAAAGAATAAAAACAAAGATTTAAAGGAAAGTAAAGATGGAATAAAAGCATGGGTGATTTCCCAAAGAAGAACAATCACTAAAAAGTATCCAAATATTTAATCTTAACTATATTTGCTTTGCTCTTTATACCGACAGAGGTTAAAAACAAACAACTGGAAGACAAATAGGATCTGTATAAGGAGCAAAAGGGATGCAGGAATCCCACTTTGGAAAATGAAGGTAAAACGCAGGAATCTGTATTGAAAGAAAAAAGCTCATTTGTGTTACTGACGGACTAGCAACCGAGTCAGGCTCCCAAGGAACCAATTTTAAAATGGATGAATAAAAACATTAATTATTTCAAGGGAAAAGGAGAGGCAATTAAAAAGTTTAAAGTGAGGAAGGGCGACCAAAAGACAACAAATAAAGAGGAAAGCAACAATAGAAAGTGATCTGAAAAAGCTCAAGGACAACAGAACAAACCAAGAACCAGGACAAGCTGACTACGACAATGAAACATTCTCTCATCATCTTCGTCCTCCACTTGGCAGCGCCGACGTTGATGGCGAAAGGCGTGCCTCAGTTGCAGCTGGGGCGCTGGGTGCGCTCAGGCCTGCAGTCCCTACAGTGGGACCAGCTGCACCACTGTCTCCGCGCCTCCTCTCACTCCGAAACCGAGTGCAGGCGACTCGCCCACTTGTCTCCCTCCACCGTGGCCGTCTACGCCTCTGAACCGCGCACAGGTGAGTGATCAAAGGTTGCAACTTTGATGGTGGGTGTTTGACAGCATCCTGATTCATTTTGGATGAATTTGAATGTATTCAGGGTTCTACAAAGTATATGGACTTTTTTGATCACCAATGTGGCTGGTGACTCCCTAAAGTTACAAGCAGGGGCGGGCTGCCCTATGGGGAAGGCGGGGTTTACCACTGTGGGCCGCGGCCCGTCCGGCTGAGCCGGTGGTCCCACGGGTTGCTCGGGGCCACCGACCACAACACAAAAAAAAAAGAAGGAAAAGAAATCAGAAACAAGTGTAGCGCTGCAGCTAACAAATCTGTTGGCCACTAAAAATAGGAATAGGACACGTCCCCCTCAGATATATGAGGACCACAATCCGTCCCATCAATTGTGGCCAAATACGACAAAAATCTCCGGTAAAACAGAGGATGTTGAGGCTACAATTACCGGTGCCTTAGGTGCACAAGAATGTTGCAATTTGTGTGATACATTAAAAGAAAAACTTTGATGAGTTCTATTTTTATGCTGATTAAAACTAATATTGGCAGTTGCAAGAAGAGCTGGTTACAATTGGACTCATCTACAGCTACGTGGCATATCGTCACAATTGAGACAGTGTAGTGAGAGGTGTATCCAGCTCCCGGTATGTCGGTACTATCAACAGTGCTCTAAGTGGGAAAAGAAAAGTAAGTGTCGGTGCTCCACTTATTTGACTGTTGCCAGGTGAGTTAGGCGGTGAGTAACAGCAGATCATGAGGTGAATTCATTAATTCATTCATATATAAAAGATAATTAATCAAATATGTCAAATACATGAATAAATAAGTTAGTTAATGCCTTATGCCTTTTTGTTCTGTGCAATTATTGTTGACATCGATGGCAACAAATGAATCAGAAGCGCTAACATGTACTGTTAACTTGCTGCTAACAATTGACGTGTCGCCTTTTGTCATCGTCATTGGTCCCAGTCTGGGTTCTCTTTTCAATTTTTTGGAGTCACGGCAACATTTATGGGTTGGATTGTTTTCAACCAATGACTGTAAAAATAACTCGTTTCAAAGACAGTGGTTCTCAACCTGGGTTCGATCGAACCCCAGGTGTTCGGTAACTCGGTCTCAGGGGTTCGACGGAGCCTTTGCCTTGGAGGTTAAGACACACCCGACTCAACATGTTAATTAGTTATGACACGCCCGCGGCAGAAGATCACCTTACATCGCTTGTCCAATCAGTTCTGCGGGAAATTTAGTTCGCTCCGTCGTCAACGAGTGACTGTCGTGATAGGACGTCGTGTGATTTTTTTAATTGAACTTTTTTAATACATGCTATGTCGAGCAAAAAAAAAAAAAAAAACGTCGGCCGCACATTCACAACATGGATTCACATGCATCACGGAAAGTGATGGGAGTCAGTGTCCTATCTGCATGATTTCTCATGCCAAGTTGAGCAACTCAAAACTGAAGGGACACTTCTTGAATCATATTTTTATGTTTCACTAATGAAGGGTTCGGTGAATGTGCATATGAAGTGATTGGCTTCGGTACCTCTAACAAGGTTAAAAACCACTGCTCTAAGATGTTTATATTCTTCCGTCTTCTTCTTTTTGTCGAATTTTCTGCCACACACTCGACTTGCGAGACCGCCTTGCCAGGGACAGGTGAATGGCATGTACCAGTGCACACTGAGAAAAAGAAAGAAAGAAGTAGATCAAGTGATGGTACTGTGGGGGCTCATGTGAAGACCCGGCGCTGACAAAAGTCAATGTAGACTCGAGGCTAAAACCACTTCAAGCACACACTACCAATATCTGCAACCAGAAAGCTAACATAGTACAAATTAAGTAGATTAGTGCTGGCTTTTCGCTTCACCTTATCACCACATTCATACAGTTGTAAGTTCTATTTCGTTTTATGGATTTTTTTTTTTTTTTTTTTTACAAGGCTTGTAATGATTCTTAGCGTTTTGTTTACATACATACAATATATACAAACATACATACATACACAATTTTTGTATTTTGTTTTTTTGAGCCACCAACATTTAGGCAGCAAACACGGCACTCCCTGTTAGAGCTTCAAAACATATTCATTCCACTTCCGGTGTACTAATTAGTGGACTAATGCCAACTTTACGATTGCTACACAGCAACAGGTGATGCTGTCCCATCATGCTTTGTTGCATTTACAAGTAACACTTGTGATTGTGTTGCGTCTCTTCGATGTGTTATTGCGTACCAACAGGGTGTAACGTAGTAACAGTGGTGCTGTTTTGACTCCTTTATTAATTATTGTAACATTTGATATGAAAAACAAAGATAATGCTTTCTAAAATATCATATCGTTAATGTGTTAGTAGTAAAGTTGTTTTAAAAGGTGCAAATGGCCTTTATTTTCAGATTTCAAAATGGATCTACAGGCTTGATTCTCACCCAAGCAACACAAACAGCTGCCCGTCCAACCGGGAAATTGCCCAGTGGTCCAGATTACCCACTGTGGGCCTGTTACTGGCTGCATACTTGCAATGTCAACATACAAGCTGTCAATTTTCATGAATTGGGACATTTTTATCATTGTCATTTCAGTGATTCAGTGTCATTCAAATATACATTTCCATTGAATTGACTTATTTTTTTTTAAAATATGACTGGATTGGAACATCTCTCGTATGTAAACAATATCACAGACAAATTGGAAGATCGACTATGCACAGGAAAAATAGCATCGAAAATGAAAGGATGGATGAACGCGATTGATTTATTTTGTATGTTGTGACCCAGGTGCCTCCGACAAAGTGCTGGCCATTCTCCCAGACTCTTACTCGTCCAGTGGGTTGATCAGCTCCAAATTTCGGAGCGCTTTCGGCATCGGCCGATTGGCGAATGGGAGGGAGAGCCGACATAGGTACCAAGCGCCTTTTCTCGCCTCCGTGAGCCATGACGCGGTGCTGGTGCTGGACCCGAGTCCCAGCGAGAACTTTGGACACCCAGTTGCCCTCTTCTACGTGGACTTCAATGTGACAAAGAAGAGATGTTCCCACCTGGACGGCATTTATCTGGGTGAGTCTGGTTGATTGGGTTTCAGATGCATCTGGTTTGTAATCAACACTACAATGGCATTCAGTAAAGCACAGACCTCCACCGAAGCCAGAACTTTCACAGATAACCAAAGGCTTAATATATTAGCAAAAATGAAAATCTCGGCTCACCACCCTCTGCTTTGAAGCCGAGTCTGACTCACACCCCTCCACAAATGTGATTTTCATGTTCTTTGTCTTTTCGTACCATCGGCGAAGAGAACAAGTCAAGGAATGCCAAAGAGGATTTGTGTAATCACAAAAAAATAGAATTTACTGTGACATAAAACATGCTCGGGGGCGTTCAGTACAATATATGTGTTGCAATGTCTTTGCGTATGACAGGGCTTCATTCATCACAACAATTCCTACGAAATGCCACCAGATGACAGCAACTTCCCTCTCCAATATGTTTGTCAGGTTTGTTCAAAGTGTGAACAGTTTTATTCTGTTTTTTTTTTTGTTTGATTATACAGGGGAAAGTTCATTTATACACTTGGTTGGGTTTAGATTTCAAATGAGATTGGTCAAAGAATTACAGAAAACAGAATGAGCCTTTTTTCATAGACAGGTGCACAACGCTGAGCATCACGGGGGACGGAGCTGCTCCACCAACCAGCGAACCAAACTATTTGGTGACACAAAGCAGACTGCACTCAGTGTAAAAATGGGCACATGTTCATTTTCGAGTCGGGACAATACTTGTTAAACATGTTTGTAAATTTGGGAGACTGTGCTACGCCTCGATAGGAGATCTGGCGTATTCGATCGTATGACCCTGCCGCATCTGGCAATTTCGTGACCAAAAGTAGATGACATTTTGGACTAGTTAAATATAGGTCTAAGCAGTGGTGCATGTGGTGTAATGTGATTTTAGTGGATTTAAAAAAGGTTCAGACAGACAGATTCCGAGTTCCGCAGACTAGTGGTGCACATATTCGTATTTCATTCATAAATATGACAATAGCATCGATCCCTCAGAATGTTTGAAAAAAGAATTTCATTGAATGAATTAGTCTCCTTTTCATCTTAAAAATATTTTAAGACCAAGGGTGTAAGGTGGTCTCAAACTGCCCATGACACATTCACAGTTGTTTTCATCATCTGCTAGGGGAGATCTTGCAGTTTACTTTCCATCTCACAATGGCGCGTCATGGCGCAAACACCCTCTTCCACCTGTGCGAGTTGAGGAAAATACCAAAAGAAAGAAAATTCTACCCATGCACACAGTAACCTGTGCTCTGCGCTAGACTTGCACTGAGCATGAAAATAGGGCCTAATGTGTTCAACTTTCGAGGTTTTACTGTACATCAAAATTAATTAAAACATGAATCAAGGAGCAGGACCATTACAACATCATACTTCTACTTCGAGCAATAGTAGGTTGCAGTATTACACTTTCTGCTGCAATGGTGCAGTTTGTTGAGTAAGTTGGTCCATGCATTGATGGCATGAAGTCATGTGAATGTTAAGTTGTTGCAATAGTTGCAGTAGTTGTGGTTTCCAAATGTGGGCAAGTCTGCGAGTTTATTTTATTTAGTATGTTTGAGTGAAGAATTCTGTCTTGAACTGAAGCAGAAGAGACAGTGAAAATCGGGGATGTTTGAAAGCACCCTTTTATAGCTCATCGCTTTACGCAAGACATCACAAATGCAGCTTTAAACAGGTTTTAATTTCACATGATTACAGTTGTTATAGTTTGCGGTGGTGTGCAATACTGTCTCACCTTGTACAGCGAAAGGTAACCAGTTGTTAGCAAGTATTATTATAAGCATTATCACTGTCAAGGTTGTTTTTATTTTCTGAGAAATGTCAAAGCACTCATTAGATTCTGCAAGTGAACATTAGCAGCATTTTGGTCCATTTGAGGCATGCAGTTGAAAAGTTGCTGATGGGATGACAGCTTGCAAACTTGTGCTTTTTGGTGGTTTGAAAAACAACACGTCACAGCAAAAGAGAGGTAGGTAAAAGGGCATCAGGGACAGCGAACAAAGTGCTTCAAAGCATAAAATAGTCTGAGGGGACAGGATGTGAACATCCGATCCCCACAATCCCAGTAAAAGAAAGTGGTAAAGTGCAAATTGCTGACCCCCCACTGTGAAAAGGGTTGCAACCAGATGTTAAGGTTGCCTGTGTGCCTCACGAAGACGCAACAGTCAATTATTTATATACACACACACACACACACATTTGCACAGAAAATGTTATGCCCCTTGCTGGCTTCTATGGATAGATTTTGGATTGCATATTTTTAAGATGAATTCTATTTAAACCAAAAAGTCTTTGAGGGAAACAAAACCAAAAAAGCAGCTTCCCTACTTGCCGCCTTTGAAACATTTGGGTTCAGAGGAATGCCTGTTTGTAGTCTCGAGAGAACCGAATACATACACATATTGATGAATCCACAGCCATTGACCAAAACAATTTGCTTATGGAGAGGGTTCTATGGTCCAGGTATGTCGATCGGTTGTGTAGGTGTTCACAACCGCTCTCCAACTGATTGGAAATGGTGGATAAGAAATTGGATAAGTGTATGAATGGAAGGAGGAACCCAAAGCACACCTTTTGTCACCAAGTGGAATGCATGGGGTGGCATGTCAAGCAAAATTGATGTCAGCTCCTGAGTGCACATTGGGCTGAATAAAGAAGAAATGATGGATCACGCTCGACTTCAACAAGAACCAGCGTGACCTTGACGGGAAAGTCATAGGTCCTTAGTTGGATACAATCTTTCAAAAGCAACTCCACATCCATCCATTTTCCTATCCGCTTTATCGTCACAAGGGTCGCTGGGCATGCTGGAGCCTATCCCAGCTGTCTTCGGGCAGTAGGCGAGGGACACTCTGAACCAGTTGCCAGCCAATTGCAAGGCACACAGAGACGAACAACCATCCACACTCACAACTATGGACAATTTAGACTGTTCAATCAGCATGCATGTATGATTTTGGAATGTGGGAGGAAACCAGAGTACCCGGAGAAAACCCATGCAGGCATGGGGGATAAACATGCAAACATGCACACAGGAAGGCCAGATCTGGAATCGAACCCACGACCTCTGCACTGTGAGGTCCACCGGGCCACCTATGCGAAATATGTGAACAACACATTTAATTTGGACCACCGGGCCGCCCACTCTTCTCACATCCCATAATAAATGTAAATGAGAAATTCTGGATGGCAATTCAGTGCTCTACATCTGCATCTTCAGGAGAGGAGTGTTTGACTCAGGCCTTGAAAGGTCGCTGTCAGAACCAGCTGAAGCGTTGGCAGGCCGGGCCCGAAAGGCTTATGGAACAAGGGCATAGCTGGCTCGTGGGAGGAGCTCCACGCAGAGCTACCTTTAGCAGTCAGGTCAGTGGACGGCTCTGTGAGGTCCACTTTCTTCCCTTGGTGGTTGGAGTCGGAGACAGCAACCGGACCCAGAGACTCAGATGTGTAGGTAAGTTTCAAAGCTGCTGAGCCCGATGTGAAGACATGTTAATGTGTCTCGCTATAGAAATCTCACATGTTTGCTTTCGACAGATCACACCGAATTTTCCAGGTGTCCTCAATTGGTACCCATGGGGTCCCCTAGTTTGCCCGTCTCGAGTTGCGAGCTGAACAAAAACACGAGACGCTGTCACCAGCAGCCACTGGCCACGCACCTCTCCTGCCGCCTTTACCAGACATGCGACCATGCGGTGCTTATCTCTGGTAGGATGCAAACCAACCTACACACTGCTGGCAAATCAGATTTTTCGCCTCAATGACCAACAGTTGCAGGAAGCATGATTCCTTACTAGTTTTGTTTGTTTGCATCAGGCGGCTGGCGGCAGCAGATGACATTTCAGCGACACGTGCAGAATCTTCAGAGGTTCTACAGAATGCTGCGTATCAATGGTTTTCACAAAGACCACATCAAGACTTTCTTTGCCAGCAGTGGGCATAATCCAGGTAGGACTCCCAACAGATATTCTGCCATTCTAAACTGGACGTTATAGGTAACTTCTTTGTCCATGTTCTTCCACTGCAGAGGAGCTGGAGGGTGCCTACTCAGCCACGGAGAAGGCGGTGATCCGTAACCATGTGTCATATGTCTGCAGGAAACAACACTGCGCCGACTCACTGGTGCTCTACCTGAACTCGCCCACGCGCAACGATGGGACCATGCTCCTGTGGGACGCCAACCTCAATGGCATCGTAAGATAGGGGGAAGCACATAGCCAGATACTGTTGTCGATCAGATTGAGGCTGAACACTGAGCAACTCCAGTGAAGACTTTCAGGGAATTGTTTCTCCTTTCAGGCTGATCTGAAGGAGCGCTACTCAGTCAATGAACTCTTGACTGACCTGGCTGGCTGTAGGGCAACTCGTGTTTTGTTGTTCGTGGATCAGAGCTACAGCGGCGTTCTGTCCAAAAGGCTGAGAGGCTCCCAGAAACATCTCAATGTAGTTCTAATCCCAAACCAGAAATTGTTGACTCAAAACTACCAGAACCAGCGGGTGAGCATGAGCTCGGAGGACAGCAGCTGGGCACATATTGGTCCGTCAACATGCTTGTTGGACTACCTGGAGAAGGTATTTTATTGCGACAAGCTAGACACCTTCTCTCAACAAATTCAAATTCAGTCAACGAAAGCTTGTTTGGAAGATTTTTTTCCGTGTTTGGATTCAATTTTTTTTCTGTTTTATAAGTGAAATAAAATCTATGATGAGACAGTAACAACCTTGGGTTAAAAGATCCAAGAGCTCGTCTACTACTGCTCTTGCCGCTACGACTACTACCTTGATTTCTTTCTTTCTTTTTGTTTTTACTCAACATAATATTCTACGATCTATTAATCTCAACTCCTAATTTATTTGGCTTGATTACAGAAGCTCTCAGCATTCCTGCACTATACAACACTGTCATGGAAATTGTAATTTTTTAAATAATTTAATTTAATATCAAGCACCTCCACCCCAATGTCGACTTTTCCTAATAAAAATTGTAACAACTTTATTGCAGAGTGCGGGTGATTCCCACCTGTTGGACCAGTGGGCCGGCCTCTTAAACATCACCCTGGCAGGAGCTCCGTGCAACGCCACACCTCCGCTAACGGACAGCGAGATGAGGCGATGGTACCAGGGATGCCAGAACCTGCCGACCGCACTCTGGCACAGGAAGTACCAAAGCAGCAACTAAAAAAGGGAGCGAGACACAAAATGACTGACCAGACAGTGGGCGAGAGAGGAAAACACCTCACTTCCACAATACATGTTAAGAGTTAATCACATGCATGTGTAGATGGACAGTAGATGCAATGCGTGTGTGTGTGTTTAGTGTGTGTTTGCGTGCGGGGATGTATGTATGTGTGTTTTCTGCCCTGACGCTGAACTCGGACTGCAACCATGGTGATGACAGCTCATCCCAAGGGGGCGTCCTGAACCTGAACGCCATTTGTGTGTGGAGGTTCAGCAAAAGGACAGCACTTGGGTCAGAGCTTGTGTGTGTGTGTGTGTGTGTGTGTTCAACATTTCACAACCGATCATCACTCCTATTTTAGTCCGCATAAGTTTTCTTTTCTTCCATTTCTTTGCTTCTTATTTTCGTCCCATCACTCACCCCTCACCCATGACCTCACCCACTGACCCCTTTATCGCACACTCACCTTAACTTAATCATCTGCACATTATTCAAGTAAGTTAGCAAATTATTATATATTTGCAAACTTCAATTCCCAAAACATTTACATCCACTATTCAAATCTATAGTATCGTATATCCGCAAATATCTTGTCGTCACATTGAGACAAATGATGGGAGGCCTTTATTCAAAATAAAAAAAACCAACAAAATTATTAAATGAAAACCAATTACATAAACAGAGAACAATTCCATACCTTTATTCCTGTGCGTGGCTAGAGCACGATTTGATTGCGTAATAGGTCCAGACCATTTTAAGAGAGGTATCGAAAATGAATGAACAAATGAATTGATTACCGGTATTTGGCAATTAATGTTTGGGGGGAATAAGAAGCAGCACAGTGAACAAGTGGTGAGCATATCTGCCTCACATCTGAGGGTTCAAATCAGGATTGTACCCAGGTACTCCACTGTTCTCCGAACATTCCCCAGCGACATGGAAGCTAGGTTAATTAAAGACTCCAAATCGTCCAAGGGTCTGAATGTGATCGTCAATGCTTGTTTGTCTTTTGGTCTTTTCCTTCTAAACGACTTGCTGGCGACCGGTCCAGGGTGCACTCAAAGTTAGTTCCGAGAGCACACAGCTCACTGGAGAGGTGAGTGGAATAAAGATTGTCGTTTCAGACACTGATTCCACATAGCATAAGATCATTTTGACTATCCACGGGGAACTCATGTTTAGCAGGAGTTGGATTTCACTCTTTCACTTTCGTCATACCTCTGAGAGACCTTTGTAGTAGACCAGCGCGTCGATAAAACTATTCTGTGGTGTTTGCTCTGTTGAGTGTGTGAGAGAAGTAAGAGTTCTGCCCTGAGCATCCCACACTTCCCGAACGAGACAAACATCACCTTGATGGACTAAACTTCCTCTTCACATGACTCCATGTGATTTTTTTTTTTTTTTTTACTTTTCACCCCTGGGGCATCGCGTTTTGACATAAAGATGTCTGTGATGAATCCCTTCAGGAGTGCATGAATTCTTGGCAAAAAAAGTGATTTCACTTCAGGGGAAGAAAACAGAGTTCAGTTGAAATATATTTTTTGTGACACCAGTCCTGGAGCTCTTTTGTCATGACCCGTCAGGAGTTACTTCCTGTTTGTATTCTACCGTCAAAAAAGAAGCCACCTTTTTAGGGGAGGCATTTATTTTAAGTTGATAAAGCATGCTGTGAATGTTTGGGGAATGGCGTCCAGTGGGACTGCCACTACTAGAGGAAATGTGTTGTTCTCGATTTCTAGCCTGCAATTGGCTAGCCACCAGTACAGGGTGCAATCCATCCCTTGGTAAAAAAAATCAGACGGGATTATGGGCTCCACCCTGTGATGAAAAGAAAAAATGTAAATAAATGGAAGTATGAATTTATCCAGAGAAAAAAAGTAGAAAAAATAAACTCCCTCCGGTTTTATCAATATTTTTTTTAAACAGAAAAAAAACAACATTGAGAAGACAAAAATAAAATCTAATTCGAGGTATCTTGCATCCCAGATTTTAAAACATGGAGGAGTGTTTCCGTGTCCCGAATAAAAGAAGTGCGAGGGGATGCGAAGGACATGGAAGGAGAAGCTGAGATTGGCCTGCAATGATCATGATTAAGATATGAAGCACTGCGACTGCCCTCGCTTCTACACCGGCTGGCCATGGCTTTTTAATAAGGGCGCTGCTCCTGTGTGTGTGTGTGTGTGTGTGTGTGTGTGTGTGTGTGAATGACAAATCACTAGTGAACACACTCTGGAAAGAACTCATGACTGACAATGTGTTGTCTAATCGTTTTTGTCGTGTACCTGACCTGACCTCCTGCCGTGACTTTTCAACCCTCAACAAACAACATCCACTACCTGTACAAAAGCGATGTGACAGATTCCGCCTTACGAGAAATGAAAAGAAAAAAATACTTATATAATTGTCCTTTGGGAAGACTTGTGGCGTGTATGAGATTTTTTTTTTTTCGTCCCAATGTCTGACGGCCAAGCATGTCTTGACCTTGCCCTGTGCACTGGGAATGGGAATCCCTTCTAGCATATTTAACTGATTAAGAGGCGTGCCTCTGTTTTGCGTTGATGTTTGTTTACATAACATTTAAGATGGATGCTGAGGAAAACATTCCCAAATGCGTGGATTGACAGACCGGACCATCCACCAAGATTGTGCCCAAAAAGTTACAGTGTATGCAATTCACAAGTTTGTGTACAGATTATAAAATGACAATTAAGCAGAAATGTTTGTAGTGGCATGCAGTATTTCACAGAATGTAGTCAATAAAGATCTGATAGAAACCTATCCTGTATGTCTGCGCTCGACTTGTTCAATGTCCATTCTTTTCCTCACCTCCTTGAAGCATGTAACTTAATAGAATGACCTCGTGTGAACGTTCATGGTTGTTTCTGATTGGTCATTCACACTCCAGTTTTGACTCGTACAGACACCATGAGCCCTGATTTTTAGTTCCTTAATAATTGCTTTAGTCAAATCGCTTTGATCTGGCCAGTGCCATATGATCGCTTCAGTCAGGCACTCATGATTGGATGCTCAAGTTTATTGGGAACAGTTTGTGGGTTCTTCAACTGGTCACAATTCCAACGTGGCTGCTCCAACAGTACTGATTGGTCACTTTTGTTTGTTGGCTCTCATTTTTTACTTTTTTTTTGGTCACTTCTTGGTGACTGCTGATCCCATTTGAGCACTCCTGATCTCTTTATTGTTTGGGGACTCTCTTTTAGCTGCAGTTTGTTGACGCAGGTACTGCCAACTTGTCGCTGTTGAATAGTCAATCCAATTTAGCCACAACAATTTGGTCACTCCTATTTGGTCACAATGGATTGAATGCTCTTCTTTGGGCACTCTCAGCTGGATGCTCCTGACTGGGCAGCAGTTAATGAGTTGCTAACAAAAAAATAAAGCACAAATATAATTTAGGAGCACAGCAGAAGTAGTGCAGTAAAGTTAAGTTGTCGTAACGAAAAGGCAAACAAATTGTGCATCAGAACTGGGAAAAAAACTATGATAAAATTGTAGTACTAAGAGGCTCTGGCATGGATACCCCAGTAGAAATGGACCATTGGTCCATTGCCATGCGTATGGTTAATACACGCCGCCCCCCCAAAAAAACGTGACGTGTTATGTGCCTCGTGTTTTTCTATCGAGGTCCCTTTGAGATAATGTTCTCACAGCAACGCGCCATCTGTCTCTGTCAAAGCCACCCTCAGGCCACTCATATAGTTTTACTCCAAACACTAACCTTTGACACCAGCACTCACGGCCCATCCATGATGTTTTTACCAAAACAAGACCAAGTAACACAACCAGCTCAGCGAATAATGAGTGGCTTGACTCTTTGACACAACGGTACCACATATAGCCAGTCTAATTAACGCACAATCTCAAAAGCAGAGAGATTGCCTAGCTCTGAAAAGATACATGAACATGCAGATCGATGCTATTTGTGATTAGATTGGTGTTGGCTCTAACAACATCAGTTTTAAACTGTTGAAAATATTTATAGTTAGGGATGATTACTTTGTTTCTTCAAATCCTTTCATTCCTCTCTTGCAACGGTGGGTAATTAATTCTGCAAAATTTTGTGCACCGCCCATCAACTCATTGTAGCCATTGCTAGTCAGATATATATATATATATATATATATTTATATATATATATATATATATATATATCTATAGATAGATAGATAAATAGATAAGTGTAATAAGTATAATATTATTGACAGTGTATGGTACAGAGATGATTTATTATACCTCCAATATGTACAGTATATGAAGCTGTAGATTTACATTTAGTACAAACAGGCCAAACACTATTGGTCCTCTTCCCTCTAATTTTGCTCAAATTAGGACCATCGCTGTCATTTTTGTACTCTGCATTTTAGAAAGATAGTTGTTAGAAGGGGTGTAAAAATATTCATAAAATAAGTGATAAATCAAATAAATTAGCAACACTTCAGACACAAGTTGTAGTTTTCGCTCACTACCTCGTTTGTATGAGCGTCCATACGTCAGAACATAAAATAAAAGCACGACTTTCAAAATAAAAGCCACCTATATTTTACATTTTTCTTTGACTTCATGGTCACTGTGAGGTCAGATTAGAGACTCATACTTTGTCCAGATCTGCTCTACTCGATACCTGGTGCGTTAGCAAATGAAGACAACCACCTCCTTTATTTTATGATTAATAAAATAATAATAATAAAAAAATCTTTCTGTATTTCATGTTGTATTATCTCACTTCATCAATGCTATTGTTCACTCACGGACGTTAACTGCTTAGCCTATTTAAAGACATTTGCGAACCAAAACAGTAGCACCTAGTGTGCTTTGATTTTTGCTGCATATTTTATTTTACTTTCATTTGACACATATGAATACTATTCCTAATATTGTATGTCTGTGCATAATTAAAGGCCGAGCCACTAATGACCCCATAATTACCCATCTGCGGCTGTGGTCCTAAATGATCACGTGCATTTTCAATTCTGTATTTTTTTGGGATGAAAGTATTCACCCTGTCATGCATCCTGTAACCTGATCACATGATAAGCTGTCCACTGTAGCAACCTCTGTCCCCGAAAGGGTTAAAAAAAATAAAAATAAATAAAAAAAAAAGAATGAAGGGAAAGAAGCACAGGCAAAAGCAAAGATGCTTTAAAAAAAAAAAAAAAACCTTGCATGATGTAAAATGCTCATGCAGACTTGAAGCGACTTTACTATGAATTAATAAAAACACAAGTCTGCCACTGTCTGGGCCACCAGACGGGATGAAGTAGAAAGAGAAGTTGAGAAATGGATGATGCCAAGAATTAACAAGAGGGACATTTTTCCCCCCACAATTTTTGTGTGTGTGTGTATATATATATATATACTTTTTTTTTTTTTTTACATCTTTTCTCAGTGTGTTGACAGTGATCTTTAGCCCTGATTAACCGGATTTAGTTGTGGGCGGTCTTTGGAAAGGCTGCTGAGCTCAGCTTGAGGACGGGATGAACATTTACTTCCCATCTATGTGCGATCATACGCTGGCATGTGGCTGTGGCGGCCAGTGTATTCTGACACCGCAGGTGAAATGGTCTTTTTCTTATGTTTACATCACAGGCCAATCAAAAGATGAATTGATTTTCACACAGACACACACATAGCGTACTTGTTGACTGGGACTAATTAGTCACACACAGAGGACCAAATTATGTTTTGCAGGAATATTAATGTATTTAGTTTACACAGATGCATACTAATACTAGTATGAGAACATATACCGGTAGATGAACATTCTTCAGCCCTATTCTGTATGATGACTTTAGTTTAACTTAGTGTATAAGAGGCCTGATCAGGGTGAATTGATCAAACCTGGTGGTGAAATTCCTGATTATTTACATCAACTTTACATGGTCACAAATTAGACACAACAAAGAACTGTGGTGTGGCGCCTGCTCGTGAGAAAGGAAGTCTTCCTGCTCATCTCTGATTTCAAAGGACTGTATGCCTCAGCAGTTAAAGTGGCTCTTTGCGCGCGTGTGTGTGTGTGTGTGTGTGTGTGTGTGTGTGTGTGTGTGTGTGTGTGTGTGTGTGTGTGTGTGTGTGTGTGTGTGTGTGTGTGTGTGTGTGTGTGTGTGTGTGTTTTTGAGCCTCTGGGTCTGAAAAAGACACCAGCAGATTTTAGGGTACACATGCAAAAACAAACACACAAGGATGGCTTTTGATCTGTAGATTGATCAGCAAGCGGAGTCGGTCAAGCGTGTCGCTCAGTCTCTCTCTGTCTCTCTCTGTCTCTGCATCTATATAATTTATATTACTGCAATCTCACATAGTTGCAGAGTGCTTCAAAAC